CGTTTTACGAGTAGTATTAGGAAAAAGCATATTTTTTATCTGTGAGCATATTTTATCTGAAAAAACTCGAACTTTTTAAGAGTTTCCGGAAGTTTTAATTTTTCTGATCTTCCATTTACTAATAAAAATTTACTGACCTTTTTTTTTGTTTGTGCTCTTAAGTTTTTAAAGGCGCTGGAAAATTGATTCGATAAACAAAAATCCAAGAGCAAATAAGAGGCGGGGTGGGATGCTTGGCGTTAAAGGGTTAAGACATAGTTCCGGTGATGCTCCCGTAAAAGTGGGCGAGGCATTGCCCTCCCGTGAACTTTGGCAGATGTAGGTATCCTAGCTAGCCGAATCCTGAAAGGAGGCGAGAGTGACCTGTTTTGCGTCTCGCTCCTCGGGGTTTGTACTCTTTGCACCTCGTGATTCTCCTACTCTCGCCTCCTCTCGACCCTGGCGAGACGAGCACATCCGAAGTTGTGCCGAGCTTCCACGACGTGGTGCAAAAGGGAGGACTACCCTGTGCTTGCGCGCGCGCGCTCCCCCACACTTGTCATCGTGTTTACGTACGTGTGTGTGTTATTCGTGTTTACATATTCATATGTGCGGGTGGGCGCGCGCGCGTGCACAGAGTGTATGCGGGAATGCGGGAGAGCTTCGGGTATGTATACCGCCGGATGCTGCGACAGCGGATGAGAAATGAAGTCCGAGCCTCCGCTTCTCACTGGGTTACTTCCGACCAGGGGGACGCAAAGGGCTCGTCTTTACACCCCCCGACGTACGACTACATGTACATGACATCGTCCACGGGTGGGGATGAAACCCCCGCACTCTCATCTCGGGGGATTTTCTAACGTCGTTCGATAATAACCCGCTTTTAACGATAATTGGCCTTGTCTCTTCTGACAAGAGGTACCGGGGTCGCGGAACTGTGTTCGCGAATGGGTTTTTAATAAAAGTCCTTGTCGCGGATGTAGGTGCTGTGATGGCTATATATATTGGCAGCGTTAGTTTTCTTTCCGAAGCGATTCTCGTTAATGATGCCCGCGATAGTGCGCTTCGATGCATCTTTGTATAATAATTTTTCAGAGCGAGACTTTAGAGAAGAATTATTGCTGGCTCTTCTCTGAATTTTTAATCTTAAAACCGATTAGCAATCAACTGAATTATAAACTGTAAACTGATCGATATCTTTCAATTTCTAGCGAAACAGAAGCTTCTCCGATAAAGTTGCATATAATGAAACCTTATATCTCCTTGCTCATTTTTAAAGGATCTTTCAATATGTTTGAGGATTATCTTTCAATATATTAAATTTATATATACTTGATAAATGCGGATATTCCTCGAATATTATTTATTCAGAGCCACTGTCCGTTCTCCTATAATCGGCGCACAGCATATTAAACACTAGACAGCGATTCCGAACGTGAATGTTTGAACAAGTGACGTCTCAGTGATTCAATATTCACCGTTGCTTTATTGCGAAAGCAAGATAATTCTATTTAACATCTAGAATTGGCAATTATACATATAATGCAAAAATACTATTACCTACGTAATGTATTACTATTAAATTCTTACATTCTTTTTTGTACTTATTTCATCACGTTTGATTAGTCTTGGTTTTATTCTTGGTTTTATTTATTATTTTCATAAATTAGCAAACAGCAAGAGTATTCCATTAATTTGATTTAATGCGAATCAAAAAATTTTTATTGTTTATTAAATAATAATAATAATTTTTTAATAATATCTAATAATTATTTATTTATTAAAGATCATTATTATTCTTTTAAAAAATTATTGTTTGTGTTAAAAATATAATTTACTGATTTGTAATCGTACATCATTTCGATTTTTAGAGAACTGTGCGAAACATAATGTATCATTCAAATTCGACACAAGATTTTACAATGAATTAATAAGCCTGGATCCATGGACTAGTCGATGCTTGTTCTCGTAAACTATTCTCGTTTCCTTCGGCATTGCGCTGCAAATCGCATTCTGGTGGTTCTCGCGATGACATGACTCGTGATTTCTGCAGACATTCGATCGTTACTTCGCTGCGTAAAACGTTCCGTTTAACACCGCCATTTTCGCATGGACACTCACTGCGCTTTTGCACGCGGATTATTGTGACGATCGGTATTCAACAGAACTGATGTTCGGTAGGTTAAAACTTCACCCCGTTTTCTATCTCCGTGCGTCTGGATCGTTGCCAGGGCAATTTTAGCTTTTATTCGACGCTCAATAGTCTATTTTAATTCCGTGAAAGCACGGAGCGTAAAATGTGACAGACACCACTAGATTTACATAAAGTTTACGTATCTGCGTAACTAGCCGGCGAGTCGGCAGCTATCTATATAGGCGCCCTATATATGCAGTTTTACTATAGTTTCCTCGCTTTCTCTCTCTCTCTCTCCCTCTGTAACCAGACCGCAAATCGGATCGACTATCGGACACGTATTGGAATATCTGTCAAAAACCACGATCCGCTGTAATGAACATTTTTCCTTTTTGTTAGTGTCCAACTATAAACTGATACGTTTCAGTTAAGCATTTTTGAATTTTACGCTGGAACATATCAGAAATTGTTCTCCAAATATTTTCGCAGAAACTATCTTCGATTCAAATATGTACGTATAATCGACACAGTTAAATTAGAAAACGATCGAATTCTGCGGACTAATAATAATTATGAGAAGAATATGTTTTGTTTTACGATTTCTTGAAATATCAATAAATGAGTGTCTTCTCAAAACAATATTTTTTATGATGTCTAAATTAATTGATATTATCAATAATAGTTTTGATGTGGTGGATCAATGTGTAAAATTTCTTTAAATCGAGCTTTTGTTATCTCTACTTCCCAATTTCTAAAATTTGTGTGTTATGTAGGTATTTGAGCTATACATGTTTTTTTTGTAATAACGGTAAAAACAACTCACGACGTTTACAAATTTATTTTATTTTTGTTAACTTGAAATAAAATTGAAAAGAATTACATTTATATAGAAAGAATGAAGAAGCATCTAAAAATTTAACTAAATACAGAAAATAATTCTGTTAAATTAAACCGTCAAAATAATTATGTAGAAATTTCAAGCATGATGAGAAACGCTGCAAAAAAATTTCAATATATTTTAGCAACCAATGAGCGTCCTGCATAATTATTTTGATGGTTTAATGAAATTATTTTCAAGTTTGTATCTAGCTAAATTTTTAGACATTCAAGTAAAACCGTTCTTTCCGTGCAATAATAAATCAATGGTAAACATGTTGTCACAAAGAAATATATATGAGCGATATAAGATTTCTACTAGAAACATTAGTTAATGTTAACATGATAAATAATCAACTTCTTGCTCCAGAGAAATAAGCTAGAAGTGAGGGAAACCGAGGAACGTTTAAATCTCAGTTAACCGTAACTAATGTTCGTGATAGCAGTCCTTAGTCGATTAGCACTTCGTCCGGGTTGTTATGCTTTCGGACCACCGTGCTACCAGCGTTGATTTAAACACCAGACTCGCACGTAATAGCCGACGTCGCTCGTCGGTGATTTTGCCGCAGCCGAAAGCTCCTGTCTGACGAATCTAACTCTCATTAATGATTAAACCACACCCCGTGATGAGTCCCTGCCAAACTGGTGCATCTATGACAGCACAGAGGCGGAGCGACAGCGAGTTTGAAGGCGATTTTCCCCAGTTGTGATTGGCCGGGCGTTCTTAAAAATAGTCAGCCTGGGTGTGACCGTCGACATACGTGTAACGCGTAAAATAATCCTAACGCGTCTCTTATGAGAGCGAGTGTGCGTGAACGAGCGACCGAGGGAGCTTAACGACACGCGCTCGCGCGCGTCAAGAGATGCCATGTGGCGGAGGGACCGATAGCTACCAAGAGGATACCTAAGTCTTCACTCTGATCTCCGACTACGAGGTTTTCGGATCTGTCCACGAGGTTCTGGTACGGCGATCGGCTCGGATAGCCGCGTGGAAGATTCGTTCCCGCCGGTGAGAATCATCCCACGAGAGTCTCGCGCGACATCGGGGTGCAGTGATCTTTCTCGAAGCCTTTTCGGTTCAACAGTGCGACTTGTTCCCCGTTTCTTTCGCGCGATCTTTATAAATCCCAAGACGAAAGTGCATCTCGAGTTACACGTGTAATAGACTAACGCGATAAGCGATTTGATATTCTCGTGTTAATGTAAGATCCGTAAAGTAATTTTGTTATTCTCGAAAATTTTTTATCTTGACTGAATAAGTCATGTCCGAGTTGCGCCGGTCGATGAATATGCAAAGATTGCCGCATGGACATAAAACAGCGAACAGTAGTTGAGCAACTTAAATAAGGAGCGATCCTCGAGGGTGGAATCTTAGTGGTTTTAGCGAATCAGAGCGGAAAATCCGTACTTTGGATGGAATTGGCTAGGAAGTCTTGGACTCGCTGAAGTTAACGAAGAAGTTAAAGGAGAAGTTAACACTGACCATCGAGTGCGTTCTCGCCGAGATTAGTAATTCATCATCCCTTCTAGACACAGAAGAAGAGAAAAGCAAATTAGCCGCCATCGTGACGAACAAAAGCGCTGTTGCAATTTTATGACAGGTACTTTCAACGTCGGTCACATCTCCGTCTTCAGGTTAACTAACTTTTGATTGCATTACAACCTAGACTGTCATCTCGAAAGATCATATCTCTCGGATGTCATCCAGCGAAATTTCCATTAACATCAAATCTTTCCTCAATACTTGAAGTACGGTCGAGAAAATTGGATGAATGGCCGTTTGATGGAGTACGCGGTGATCAAGACGCAGGTGATGTTATCGGAGAGAAAATTGAATTGAACCACGCGCGATTTTGCATCGCCTTCGTTAGTCTCGTTCGTGATGAATTCGCGCGAGGTTGAATACGTGGACGGATCGGGGTGCTTTGAGGGCTGCCTCAAGTGATCGAGTACAGTGACCGGGCACGTGATATCGTCGCACGTTTTCTCCGACGACGGATCGCATGAGATGATGACCTTCGTGACGGATACGGTGCCTTACGCCTACGAAGCGGTCACGAGAACAGCCTACGACGGTTACCGTCATCATTTACATCACCATCATCACCATCATCATCACCCTCATCATCGGTATCGACGTGTCTATACGCCGACCGAATCCGAGTATCTACAGGGATACGTCACCAGAAGGGACACGGACGACCGCGCGAGGATTATCGGCGTTAACAACGCTTTGGCGTCGGCCGGCTCGTTGAATTATCGCAACGATCGAGTCAGGTGAGCTTTTTATTCAGGTTACATTATTAATGCCATTTGACGGGCTTAAAGTCAGACCACTGTAAGCCTATTAATGGAGAATATGAGGAAAATTTAAATGAGAAATTTTACCACAATTTTTATATCGATTTCGTGCATATCTATTAGGTATCGATATTATTATATATGTATTCTTAATATATTATTTTTCAAATAATCGTATTAATTAAATATCAAGTATCGAAAATAATCCAAAAATGTAATCCATTTCTTTTTATATGAAACAATACAGAAGCGGAGAAAGGTAAAGAGGAACAGACAAGCAACGTGAAGTTGCGATGCAGACAGGAACGGAAATATTTAATTAATCTAGTTTCGATAAAAAAATGCATTATAAAATTAATATTCTAGTAGTAGTAATAATTTATTGATTTCTTTGAGAATGCAATTACACATATCGTAAAATATCCACAAACATAAGCAAAAAATTATATAACACACACATACATGCGCGCGTGGACGGATCTCCGCGCTTTGAAAAATAAAAAAATTAATGTTCTGTTTTATTTAATTAAATTTTTAATTAATATTAATTTTTTTTGAAAAAGTATATATCTCTCTCTTTACACTTAGAATATTTTATAATTACAAACACTTTTACTATATAAAGCTTTATTATTCTTATTAAAAATTTAACCGGTTTATTTCTCCGGAGTACTCCGCTTTCCGTTCCTGTCAGTGTATCGCAACTTCGTAGCATATCGCTTGTCTGTCCCTTTTTACCTTTCTCCGCTTTTGTGTCAGTTGTTTCATAAAATGTATGTTAAGCGTAACTTTGGAAATAATTATGGCGGAGACAATGAAATATAGTTCATACAACGTCCTATGTATTCGTGTATCTATATGTTTTGTAAAGAACATTTTGAATTCTATCTCATTCTGTTAAATTATATAGGTACATTTTATTAGAAATCGAAAATTTATTGATAACCGAAATCTCTTTGGGACTTCTTATCTGTTGCTTTTTTTCTTATTTTTCTCATAGCATCGCATGGTTTGACATATTTTTAAATAAAACTTACATCTACAAATCAAAATCATTTTGTATATCAAAATTGAGTATTAAAATTGAGTGACGGAAAGATGTTACCGTATCAAAATTCAAACTAGGTTTAAAATCATTTTTATATTTCAAAGTGATAGAGTGAATCAAACATTCTTGTATATACAAATATTCTATATTACTAAATTATAAATTATACAAGTTAATATTGTAACATTTTGGAGAGGAGGGAAAGGGTTAGCTAACACAGTTATTTATGTTAGATTACATTTTTAGAATTGGCGCTCACAAATATATCGTCGGAAAAATTGAAACTTAATACTTTTATCCTTCCTAATACATATTAGATTTTCGCAAGAAAAATGTGACACTTGATATATGAATTAATGTTTAAAAACTTCAATCTCTGATAGATATCCTCGAAAATAATCACTGTTTTGCATTACGCTAGATGACAAGATTGATCATCTCTTTAAAATTCTTGCTTGGTTTCTCGTTTCTTTTACCGTTTTCTTTGTAATATTCGACGTACTATTGAAATCAAGATAAAAATTCGGATCTTATTTATTATTCGCCATTGCTCTATTTGTTATATTTGTACTATGTATTATTCTACTAGGTTCAAATTATGTGTACATACATATATATAAAAAATATCTTGTTGAATTGAGCATAACACAAATGCAGACTTATATAATATAAAATTTTTTTCGAATTTCTTTTAAATTAATATAATAAGGAGTGATAAAATGAAGTTAGCAGTTTTATATTTTTGTTCATGTTTATCTATATGAATACAATGCTTTTAGATTTTAAATTATTGTATTTTGTATTGTGTGCTAGGATCAATTTTCTCTGCATTTCTCTTCTCTCGGCTTTTACCTTTGTAGTATCGAAGCATTATTGGATTTCACGAGACTAAATCAGATTTATCCAACATTGTTTTATCAAAGTACAAAGCTGTAGTATGTCGCTTTCACGAATTAGTATTATAGCATTTATAGCTTTAGCGGTACACACTTGCACTAAATTTCAATTCGTATGAATTATGCAATAAATTTTGTATATGTTTGGCATACAGAAATATCTCTCTCTTTCTCTTTTTCTCTCTCTCAATAATTAGTCTAATAATGTTTAAAAGCTTATAAATTCATTTAAAATATACTTTACATATTGTATAAAAAAATTTTTTTTAATTTATAAAAAGATACTTTCTTAATATTTCCATAATTACGTAAAAGTCGAAAGTTAGTGCATGTTATTTTATTTGACAAATTTTATTCTCATTTTTCTCGTCGTTATTTTTTGTTTTCCTCTGATTCGTCTGTTCTGCGGTGCGATGAAATTTTAATGAGATAAGCGCGTTTACGACTGTCACACGATGGAATCAAACACACGGACAAGAATCATTATTCGCAATGAAGACTCGATGACGGTTTTACCGCGCATTAAACCATTTTCACTCCGTTTCATCGCGTTTCGCCTTTATGTGTCCATCCCTCTCGCCGAGCGTCTCTTCGCGGCGAGGAAATACATTCTCTGCGGGACCACCTGGAACGTGTCCAATCGCGGAAACCGTCTTCTGACGGACCTATGCGCCTGCGTCCATCATTAACTGCCGGCGATAACTAAAGGATGATTAAGGCAAGAATTTGCGAATTCGTTCATTCGCTAAATACCTATACCGGGCTTTTCAGCATTTCGGTAAGTCAGCGTGACTTCTTACGTTCAGCGCGCGGCAACAGCTCATCTTTCGCAGAACGAAATTTATGTCGCGGTATGTATGTGTATACACGTGTGAGGTATATGCGCGCTGTACTATAAAAAACTGAATATCCCTGTATAATAGTTAGCGACACGCTAATCGAATAACAAATAATCGAACAACGGAATTTGTTTCCAATCGGAAATTGAAGTTTTTTTATGAGCTTTATCAAAGCGCGTATAGTTTTTCTTTTCATGAAAATATCGCGCATTCTTATGTAATCTATTTAAAAAAAGCGTATGATAGAGTAAGTATAGAAATTATGCTGAAAATTATTTCAAGTCTACAAGTGACAGTAATGTCTCATTGTCAGTAGGATAAATTAAAGGGCGAGAATAGCTTATTTTTAACATGCTCCTCTGACAGTAATTCCGATGAGTACACAATGTTTTATGATTCAGATCGCAGTCTCGGTACACTCTTGATTCGGATGACGCCTCGTCAGTGATATCAGCGGATGCATCGGCCGACCTCGAGTCCGGCTCTGCGGACGCTGACGAGACCAACGAGATCAACGAGACCAACGAGACCAACGAGACGAGTGAGACGAACGAGGGCGAGTCGATCGAGCATGTACCTCATCCTCACGTTTTGGACGCCGGCTCGCCGCATGGACCGCGCAGGTGTCTTCTGTGGGCCTGCAAGGCCTGCAAGAAGAAGACAGTCACCGTCGATCGAAGAAAAGCCGCCACCTTGCGCGAGAGACGGCGCTTGAGAAAGGTCAGTTGCCGTTAACCCTAAGGCACATGCTTCGCACATTTCTAGAGGGAATCTCGATTCAGGAAATATGTAACAAGTGTGTTCTTTATTTTGCGTTTTTATAAAAGATTAATAACGATGGATATAATGGTTAGGATTTTTAATTAGTTTAATTCGAAACGCAAAAACATTAAAACAGTTTTTCTTCTTTTTCTCAATAATTTCTTCTTTTTACGAGTGTTTCACATACTTTATTCTTTGATATACGCTGCTGAATTCATATTATAATATCAAATTATATTTGAATCGTTTTTGTCTATAGATCGCCATTGTTTCTACACAATATATTGTTAATTTAACTAAAACAATGGAATTATTTGACTAAAACAATTTAATTTAAAAGAATGTTTGACTCAAATTTAATTATTCATTAAATTATTTATTAAATGCATATGTTAATTATGGATGATGTTTACATTGAAACTATATAACTACATGGAAATTGATTTACATTTTATGCAAGCTAAAAATAACAAAATGTAATTTAATTCAAAGAATTAGATTGCTATGGCTTCTTTGATATTTGACAGCGTACATTTGCAATGCACATAGTCCACAATAATTTAAAAAGATTTTTAAACATTATTAAAATTTCATAAGTTTGATTTATTGTCTCTGTACGTACATTGTATTAAGATGACAGACAAATCTTAACGTCTTAACGTGCATCTAAATCGCATTTCTCGTTTACTGAACATACACGTTACTGTTTTGGCCAGCCTGCTTATAATTACTTAAAGCACATCATGCATGAATCGTGTTTTCGAAGTAAACAGCCTCAAAGAGAACGCGCTGACGGAAGGAAAACATCTGCGTGCGCGAAGTGATCGTCGACTAAGCGCCGCTTTGGATGATTGGAATGACGAATAGCATTTCGAGAATGGGTCTAAGTGTTAAATCTTGCTAAGAGTCGTTTGAAATCCGACGCCTGCATATGTAATATAAGAAAGAGTTAAGTAAAGTAAAACGCGACGTCTATGACGAATTTTTCATAAGCAATAACATCATAACTTTGTCGGATACCTTTTTAAGCAATTCTGACGGATAAATGCGATGTAATTTGTTTTACACAATTCTCTCCTCCCACTCACTGGGCAAAATTACAAAATTTTTTGTTCTATGAATCAAAATTTTGCTGTAACAACAAAAATATGAGATATACATTAAACGAACATTTTTAGTTAAAATATATCGAATAAAATTGTAATTTTATGCGACATTGTTTAGTTGGTATATAAACAAATATTTTTATTATTTACAAAACAAAGAAATTATCTTGCAAAAATAACTAAATTCTTTGTTATATAAACAAAATATTTTCTGTTAAAAGTGCCTCAACTAAATAATTTTGCTGAAGAGGCACTAAATTTTTTTCTTACTTCATCTCCCTCAAAGCGTGCTGCATTGTTGTGTGTATTATTCACGCAATTGTCGACACATGTGGTTAATTATGCAATTTCTATCACAGGTCAACGAGGCCTTTGAGGTGCTCAAGAGGAGAACGAGCAACAACCCTAACCAACGTTTACCTAAAGTGGAGATATTGCGGAACGCTATCGAGTATATCGAGAGTCTCGAGGCGCTGCTGCAAGGAAATAGACCTTCCGGACATCAGGATCACTCTTCCGCTGAGAACATAGTATGTATCATATATGCGATAGCTCAAATTAATAGGATTAGCATGCTACGAAATTAGTTTCAGTAAATTTCGTGTACCGAATTAAAATTTTATGTCCAGCTTTAAATTATATAGAATATTACATACAATATTTATTAGGATTAATTTAAGATAATCTTTGCCAAACGAGAGTCGATCTTCTCATTTTTAATATAAAATACTGCAATTTAATTTTGCAGATTTTTATCATGTGTGATTTTTTTTAAGTAAGTTAGTAATTTAATTTTGAAATTCTTATGGTGATGTTGTGTGCTGTTATTGCAATATTGCAAATTAATGTTTCTTATAAATTTATTAAACAATTTATAAAATAATCAAGAAATATATATACATATAATATATTATATTGATTTTATTACAAAATAAATTAGGATTATACATTACATTTATCTTACAGTTAACCTGTTTCTATATCTGATAACAGTAAGATATAAGAATGATACATTGTAACTACTTTTTTTATAACAAGATGCATTTAAGCGTTGCATTCTGCATAGCTACATCGTTACACACATGTCCGACACGTGCATCGCACACGACCCACCGGCTCTAATGGTTTTTGACCCGCGACACCATTAAGCTCATATCATCGTTTTTTCCAGTACGCGTAAAAAGGGTTATGCCCGAGTTTCTCGCTCTCAAACGAACGCGCTATCGTTAATAATAATTACCGTGTAACGAAAATGTGTCGATGCAAGTGCAACTCGTGTGCATAAAAATTTTTTTGGAATAAAAATGGATTGAGTATATTAAAGCACTTTAAAAAGTTATATCTAGATACATTTTATAAATTAAATAAGTAAATTGCTTCCACACGTTTGTTAGTGCGTAAAAATAATATACATTTATAAATAAATACATTTATAGGGCTATAAGATATAATTCGTAAATAATTTGAATATACTTATCAATGAAATTAATTGCAAACGTTTTGACTCTAGATTTGAATTCTCTTTAGTGCGGAAGTCAAGTACAACTACTTCTGCGCTGAAGAGGACTCAAATTCAGAATCGAATCGTTTGCAATTAATTTCGTTGGTAAGTACTACATTCTCTCTCTCTCTCTCTCTCTCTCTCTCTCTCT